CACTGTGTGGATACGCGGTAAAATTATGGAAGATGCCAGCCAATGAAAAACAAAAAAACAGTATTTAACCATCCCAGCAACATCTTCTAATAAAATAGAATTTGAAATATTTTTTATTAATATATGAGACATTTATAGCAGTTTTTATAGACATTATCGCATTATAGCTTCTAATAAACATAGCCTCCCGATGTCACAGGCTAGTATAATCACATATTTTGTCAAACAGCTATATTACATTCTATAAGACATACTATTATACTACAGTACACTCATGAAAATGTAAAATTATGCAGGTACACGCACATACTTACACATCAGATATACTGCACACTTAAACAACCCAACGCATTCTCAAACACAAACAGACACAATCTCACATAGTATACACAAGCATACACATATACATACATATGCACAAACCATGCAACCGGACATGCCATTTTGCACTCTTTACACATATACAGGCACTAATGCACACTAATATGCACACACAAAAACATATGCCATCTAAAAAAAACATTTCTTCATCCCGCACATCTACAAGTAATGGCAAAAATTCAACGATTTAAGGACACTGAAAAAAATCAAATACATGTAGTTATGTAATGATGATAAATTTATATTCTCTCAAAGCCTTCTTGCTGAGATCAACCACGTACAAACTCAAGCATATAAGATAAACTCACTCATGTAGGCATTTGCTCATATCATAACATGTTTTTTAACTATAACATTGCTAGTGTCATGCATTCACATCATATTTTAAAAATTGGGCCTTTCATACGTGAAAGAATGACAAATGGGATATTTCTGAAGTGCATGTGGAATGTCGTTTCTTCGGAGAACTCTGAACAGCACTTTTTCTTCCCATCAACTCGTCCCTTTTCAAATTGATGGTCATCAAAGTTTTTTTGCAAGCAGAGAGAGGGAGATAAAAACAGTCAACATAGAATAAATACATGTAATTTCCTGTACACAAATTTCAGTAATTCATTATTCATTATGTGGCCTCTTTTTCTCAATCAATATTTGGTAAAAATGTTGAAAAGGGTAGATCACACATTAAACTAGCGGATTTTTACACAATTACATTAATTTAACCCACACACACACCATTATGTCTAGAGATCTACTATGGACAATGGACAGTCGTCTGCATTACTCAGTTGTAATATAGGCCTACTTAGTAAATTAGGATACAAGAGCTGTCCACATTTGCACATTGGTACATGTCGCATTATCTTATAAGTTATATATACGTTTATTCCTTTCAACAGAAACATTCACCAGGGTGGGTTTTCTTTTCTTCTTAAAGAAAGATTTGCACAGACATGTTCGTATAGATCTACACTTCAAATTTCACACAATAATTAGATAGAATTAGAAGTCTATGACTCTAACACATGCTTCTTATGGAAACTGTTATTGTGCTCATTATATAAATTTCATTAAAGGAGCCCGCCTTATAATTTTGACATGACTACACACACTGTACTTACCTCACACAGACGCGATGACGAAGTCGGTTTCCATCCTTCGCGACTGACTTTACTCACCCACATTTTTCTCCTTTTTGTATCTGCAGGGAACCTATATGTTTTGTATCCCTTCTCTGATCTATTACTGCACCCAAAAGCTCAGCAACCAGTCATAATGACAATTTATTTTACAGACTAATAGCAGAAAAGTACGGAATACGCTCACGGAAAATGAAAAGCTGCTGCTTAAGCCGGGCGCACACGTGGCGATTTTGATCGACAGTACTGGCGATTTTGTTTCCAGCAACAAAATCGTCGATAAATCGTCACGTGTGCGCTGCACGGCGATGGCGATTTTAACGCAAGAAACTCGCCGCTGGAATGTCAAACACGTTTGATATTTGTTGCCAAGTCGCTGAACAATCGCTACGTGTGCGCTGCACTGGCGACGGCTTCAGGCAACAGTTTTTGGATTAACCAATCAAATGCATGATTTGAAGCACGTGATCAAATATGGCAGCGCCCACGTTCGTTTTCCACATGCTAAACGTTCGTTTGGTGCAATGGATTTCCGCATCACTGTGTTCTTCTTCCTTATCCTTGCCCCTACCAGTGCCAGAATTGCATTGCAATGTTCTTTTTTCATTCTAAAATAACGCTGGTACGTCAGTGAATATTCAAGCTCCAGTTCTCTTACTAAATTATTAAAAACACCACACGAATCAAGTCGCAGCACCCACGTACGTGCCCCTGTACGTCTCTCTTTTGCTGCTGTCTGTCGACGACGCCGACACATAATTATTAAATATATTCCAATAACTTGAATAACGGCTATCGTGGTGTCAATGGGCGCTTCCAATTTGAACAGGTCACGTACAGTTCATACAGTGGTATGTTGCTGACAGATGGTTGCATTGTTGCCGCGTCCCGCACACGTGGCGATTTACGTACTGTCGATAAAAATCGCCACGTGTCCGCCCGGCTTTAGGTGGAACCAAAATGGCTCCTTGTGTCACGTGACCTGATTTTCGCGGGACGCTCATGTCGCAACTCTCTATATTAAGGGACTCTAGGAGTATGGATATCACTACAGTTGTCACCAGTTGCATGATCATTTCAAATGCTTTTTGCTGTGGCCTGGACTATGTCCAGGAGACAGCCTTATAGTAGATTCTGGAGGATTGCAGGACATCTGCAGTATAATTGGCAGAGATTTTCCAATGTATTGCCGTAGCTCCTCTAGGCTAGACTAGTTGGCCAGACTCCTAGAACCTTAATTAACTGTTATGATGTTCACCTTACCCGTGTGTCTCTGCAGATTGGCTGCAGTGATGCAGTGTCGCATGAGTGTGATTTCACGCAAACTGAGCTCAACTGTACTTGGGATCCAGCTTTATACTTTTTTCAGAGCAGAGTTTTATGAATCCGTCTAGGTTCAGCGTGTCTCTCAAGAGTTGCTGGGTATTACTCCATCATCAGATATACAAATGGCCCTCGGTAGTTTGCTGATGAAAACTATGATTTTTCTTTGGAAATGTGTTTTTAATGTTTTAGTAGTATTTAAAATTGGTTTTGTAGTAGAACTAGTATAAAGATCGATGTTAAGTAATATTGTTTTTGTTACATGCATTTTCGGTCGTATTTTCTTCATGCAGTAGCTATAGTAAGGAGAAACGTGACCAAATCCTCTGACTAATAATCCTGAAATGGTACTTTGAGCACAGTTACATGTTAAAGGACAATTGAAGTCAAATTTTATTACTTCTGTAACGTTTTTATACATAGAAATACATTCAATAACGTATTCCATTTCAAATCCGGCGCCCAATTTGTAAGAAACACATGAATATTAATCTAGGTCATGTGACGTCACAGCCCCCCGTTGAAACACGCCATTATATAGCGTAACAGTGCTAACACGCTAGTAGTAGTATATGTTATGCTAGGTGAAAGTATTGTTACAGCATACAACAAACATGTAGCCTGTAAATGTACTTATATTCATGTACATACATATTACCTGTGTGGATAATGCATTCACGGTATATGTACATGACTTGCACATGACTTGCGTAGAGATGTTTGTACATGTACAGATACATATGTGATTCTGACCGAGCGTGATAAGCCCGGTGATCAGTGTACTCGCATGTCTCACCTGGTCTATAGCGTCGAACTGGTCTACAATAACCCTGATCTTCTCATTCTCATGGCAGCATATACATTCAGGTGCCGTACTCATTAATTCACAAACACTACAAGAACACCAGTATTTATCTACAGTCCTATCTGGTACCGAAGCTTCCATTCCGCCATGTTGTGACTGTTCTGATTCTTGAGAAGTTTGTGCCGACTCTTCGAGTTGCTTTTTCAGACGATTCTCCTCAATTTCTTCTTGTGTATATTCAGGCTCAAACCTATATCCAACTGGTAAATCACTATAAATATCATCATCATCTGAGTAATCACTAGAATCATTGAAATTATCGCTTTCTGTCTCCATCTTATACACCACACGCACTATGTTTACATAATGGCGTGTTTCAACAGGGGGCTGTGACGTCACATGACCTAGACTAATATGCATGTGTTTCCTACTGCAGATTTGAACTGCGGGCGCCAGATTTGAAATGGAATACGTTATTGAATGTATTTATATGTATAAAAACGTTACAGAAGTTATAAAATTTGACTTCAATTGTCCTTTAAATGGGAAAAGTACGCCTCAACATCGTTTTTCTAGACCTAGCTCATTTAATTATAAGTGATGGAATATTTAAAGTGACATTTATTATGTCGGAAATGTGCTAGCGCTAGTCCTGAAAAGTCATGTAAATTGAATGCTGGTGTATCCTGTCCATATTTTGCTATGTTTAAAATAATGTTTTGTTTTAAATGTATACACCATGTAGGACTTTCAATTGTTTACTTACAATGCCGGTGGTGTTACTTCATCCATATTCGCTAAGGAAATTGCACTACCCAATTTTTCAGCTGCAGGCATGGTATTATGAAATTTTTAAGAGGTGAAGAATGACAATAGGCGTTTTTATCTAAGCGAAAGCGCTTTACGGTTTCCCAAATCTTCCATTTATCTAGACGATTTCGTGAAAGCGCTTTGGTCGTTTCTCGTTTTTATCTAGACGGTTTGCGAAAGTGCTTTGCGAAACCGTCGAAATTGCCCAGCGAGCGATTTCAGACGATTTCAACATTCAATATGGCGGATAGTCAAACGTAAATTATTAAGTAGTTTTCTTAATAAATGATTATATAAGAATAATAAGTTAATGTGTTATAAAAAAGTACAAAGATCAGCTAAATCCTAACCAAATGGTCTGCCATCTTGCATTGTTTTTATGTAACAAAAGCGCTTTCACCAAACTGCTGATCACGTGATTTAGGAAACCGATTTACTGATTTCGCTTAGATAAAAACGTCTAATATCTTCTATTTCATTCTTTGATTTAGTTAGATAATGCATGTGTTTACTATCGATTGGACACTACATTTTTCAAACAGGTCGCTCAGAGAAGTATGCAGCAACAGCAGAGAGCCCTTTTCCATCTCGAACACTATGTGTTGAGCCTCCATTGGCCACAGGAGACCGAATAGTTTGGATGAGTGACATTGGGCCCGAACATGGTCTTGTGCGCTGGATTGGTTATCTTCCAGAGGTCGGACCAGAATGGACTGTCGGGGTGCAGTTTGTATGTAGTGACCCCACCGAGACTATGTGTACACACATACATGCACGCACGCATGCAAAGGATCGAAAACATGGGCCTATAAAGTATAAGCACAGTCTGGCACACACATATTTATAATAAGCATGCACGCATGCACACATGTGCATTTCTGCTAAAAAAATGACAAAGATACCATTCGTAGCTGCTGATTTTAGAAATGAATTTAAGTCCTTAAAATGAGTGGTTTGTCCAATAGCCCATGTGTTAGGCAATGATTGTTGACCATAATATGCCTAATAATCTGCCTTCTTAATCCAATTTTGTTGAAACGGTTAATTGTAGGTATACACTTATATTTGAATTCTCCGTAAAGCTACATTCCCCTATATCCACCAATTGGAGTAATCAAAGTAAACTTTCATGCAAGTATTCTATGCATAAAGGTATTTTAATCAGATATACATTCCTTCCGTTGTTTACATCGAAAAGCATGCCACACTTTGGTGGAAAGGAATGTTTACACAGAGCTCAAGAGTGACCTAATTTCTCTTTATATATATATATGATTAATAGGTTATCATTTTCTTATCCTGACATGGCCGTTTGGTAACGTTTAAATAACTATATTTACCAGTTCGCAAGGCTTATTTATGCACTTCTTGCCATAGGCTAGAACGTGTACAAACTTTGTGTGTGTAAATTAAGATATATTTCACAAATCTATGAATACATCATATGTAATATGTGCATCTGTGCTGTGCAATATTGGGTATATATCGACAGTGGATACTGGATCCTTGATTCATGTCTGTGTAGTGTGAAAGGTGCTTATATGTTTTTTTACAATAGTATCTTCCTCCTCCCACCATTTAAATGATCAAATGTTGTTTTTATATTTATAATATATGAAACTATGAATCGATTTATTTTGTTTTTCTCTTCCGCGAGTGGACTAAGTGTTATACATTTGATGTTGTAACCTAAGGACCATCCTGTGGGGACAGGGACTGGCAGGTATCATGACAGACAACTTTTTGAAACCAAGCCCAAGTATGCATCACTTATTCCAATACTTGGTCTGATGAGGGAAGACGAGTTTCTCCAGCAAACTGTAAAGCATGGAGTGACAGGTACAGTTGTCTCTCAGCACCGCTCACCAGTAATGCATTGTACTAACCTTATGATGACATTCACCATTAGATCTAGTAGTGTCTATTAAAATTGATACGTTGTGTAGATTACACAGTAATATTCAGATTGTCTGTTTTTAGGGTGTCAGGTTGTGCAGGAACAAAAGAAGATTTTACAGCAATTAGAAGACAAGCAACAGGAGCAAAAATCTTCAATAAAATCTGGAACATTCTCAAGTATAAGCAAGAATAGCAGAGAGAGCCTACATAGAGTAGTACTAACTGAGCGTGACCATCCTGTAATTTCGTCCGGTATGTTTATTCACATGGGAATAGTTGAAACCAATTTTAATTTGAACATTATTATTTCGTATTCAATATTGTTGGTGACATAACTGGTTGCCATCAAATTAGTTATAGTAAATGCATCATACTATATACTTATGCACTGATCGATTTAAAGGGATCATTTACTCTAGGTTCTAGGGTTATTTTCAGTGACTTAGGTTAAAATTACGCTACATAAAAAGTTTCATGGTTCAATCACCATTAGAAATATTATTAAAAAATGTTTTAAAACTAACGACTACAGTTTGATTACAACGACGGTGGCGCCACTCAAAGCGCATGATCTGATAAGTTGCCCAAAACCACGTCAGCCAAGTGCTACAGACCGAGGGTGTTTCTTATTTATTAATTTAAAGGCAAACGGATTGTAATATCTTATAAACGACATATAGTTTCAGTTATAATATGGATAAATTTGCCCTAAAATGAATATCGTTCGGTTAAATAGCATTTAGGTATAAAGATAATTGCACTTTTGTGATTAGCCCTCGGTCTGTAACGTGCAAAATGAATTGTCACATGCGCACCTTTTTCAATGTGGCAGCACGGTCGCGGGTGTCATGGCGCCATTCAAATTTCGTAGCGTTGATGTGTAATTAATTATAACAATTAAATTAGGTATCTGGTAACAAATACGTGTGGGTATAGACGATTTGTTATACAGTAAGTACAGTTGTATGCAGTAAAATCCCAGAGTCTACTATTCCTTTAACTAGTTTACAAAATATTCTGCCATATAAAGATGACCCTAGCCTAACCGTTTTCAAACATTGTGCAGTAACAGCAACCTTGTAAGAGTGCCATACTGAGGCCCACTGTCAGAAATTTTGTCAGTAGTTATGATATATGTATATTGCATATTTTTACACAGTACTATGTGAGCAAGGTATAACATTTTTGACTTACAATGTCATAACTATTTATCATGTTTCAGACAATGAACTCCTTATTAGTGCACCACATATGCTCGTGTCTAAATGTTGATCATAATGTGCATACTGCAGCCTAGCATATGATGGACATACGATTAGAAGAAGCTAAGAACAACGGGGTTTTCTGCATCAAGGAGCATGCAAGAACAGCTTTGAGCATGCTATCAGATGCCTGTTTTCCTAGATATATGATTAGCTGCAATGGATGGCAACTGGAAAAATCAATTTCATCTGAGTGCACTGTGTTATCTTTTGTGACAATAATTGAATCCAGCTACTACATTTATTTTTGTACTTCTGATCCACTAGGTATCAGTGCCTAGTGGATCCACTAGGTATTAGCATTCATATGATGTTAATTTTATAATGTTAATTCATTCAGTTTTACCAACTGTATGCCAGCATAAAGCAATATGGCTCCATGGTGTTTAGGTAAAGAGATGATCAAAGCATCATAAAAACCTTAATATTTTGTTTCAATTACAAGAGTTCCAGGAGACTGGGCACCTAGTTGACCTCATTGTTTCTGTGTGTCTCAGACTTCCGCATCGCTGGAACGATGGGTTCTGTTTGTTGGATAACAGATCACGTTTAGGCAGCATTTATCGCATGGCATATCTCTGATTCTCTGGCACGTTGGTGTTTGTCATCATACATTTTACCCAGCTTACCAGGCTACATCATTTTCTCGGGGCGTTATTTTCATTTTAACCTTCTGTATTGGCTTGCGCCAACTTTCGTGTCTCGCGTGGTAATCGCGATGCCATTTTCTGACAGCATTTTTTTACGATCAGAACTGCGGTCCATTATCTGATGACCCGATAGTGATAAGCTGTTTCTACTGAATATGGATTTCAGATCCATGATCGTTTTTTCAGCTGTCACTGACCTCATGACTCCTATCTGTTAATTCCTATGGTAATAGTCGCCAATGCCAGCACCATGTTACCTGACGTTAGTGGTCTTACGCCTGGTGTCCTATGTCTGAGCTGTCTGAATCCTACGTCCGTGGTATTATAGAGACGCAAAATAACGTGAGTGAAATAAAATGGCGGAAAAGTGGCGATGTAAATTACGAGCAGATTACGAGCGGGACACAACCACACGTGTGACAGAGAACTCAGTTTGGGACTAAGCGAAGCGATTGTCCTAATGCACTTAGAATAATTAATACTAGAAGACAACTGATATTGTTAACATTTGAAAAGACATGGTGTTATTGTATTCCCCACGACGAAGTCCGCGGGGATACTATGGTTTCATGTGTGTACAGCCGCCACCGCCGCAGAGATTTTCCATTCTGCTCTATAACTCGACCCCTAATTGACCTAGCGTGACCAAACTTGGTCTACTTACACATCTTGGGGAGAAGGTGGGCAGCGTACCAAAACCAGGTCACTGCGACCTTTATTTGACCTTTACCTTGACCTTGATTATATTTCCCTTCCGCTCTATAACTCGGCCCCTAATTGGCCTATCACTACCAAACTTGGTATACTTACACATCTTGGGGAGAAGGTGCGCAGCTAGCGTACCAAAACCAGGTCACTACGACCTTTATTTGACATTGACCTTGACCTTCATCATATTTCCCTTCCGCTATATAACTCGGCCCCTAATTGACCTAGCGCAACCAAACTTCGTATACTTACACATCTTGGGGAGAACACGGGGGATACATGTAGTTGGCGACAACTGCCCTTTCTAGTTAGCTTTATGATACCGAGCTGGTGACTGATGCACTGCAGCTGGCCTTTGACCACCTAGACATTACTGATGTTGTTTCACTGATGGTGATTGGTAATCGTCCTCTTTGAAATGCCCACTCCACTGTTTCAGATGAACATTCTTCTTCCTGCGACTGAACCAATCTTCAACTGTAGACTTAAACGCTCAAAGACATTGGTCCTTTTCATTGAACCATCCTTCGTAATAATGTTTTCGTTATTCATCATTCAGCAGGGCACAATATTCGTCATGAGCATTGAAAAACTCTTCATAGCTTGCCATCCAATAGATGTACTCATCTTTTATAGCACCATACTCTACATGTTCAGCTAGAAGTATTTTCGTTTGCTCCATCCTGATATCTACCTTGTTGAACGTTTTATTCATTCTTTTTCTTTTAGTTTCAATGGAGAATAATCTCTGTCTGCCCTTTAGGACGAGCGCGACGACCCTCAGCATCACACACGTCCATCCATTGACTGCTTTCTGCACCCCTGGTGTCAGGTGCTGCGAAGTCATCTGATGCGGCAGATTTAGCTTTTTCCAGACTGTCTCCATTTGGCTTTATTATTGTGCCAACATGTAATGTTGTAGCACTTAGGCTCTCGTTAGGCTCTTGTAGCACTGTGCCTCAGTATTTCCTCAAAATCATTTTAATTTGTCAACCATTTATTGCTTCGTTCCATAGATTACTGTAATTTACAAATGATTCTATATTCAGTACATCAGAATATACATGAATATACTCATATACAATATGCATACTACCTAACATAATTCAAGCTCAGCTAAAGTAACGTAATGTTAAGTTAAGTAACAAATTTCATAACATTTCTTTAACATAAATGAAGATTTTAAGAATTGTAAAATGAGTATGTTAACTATGAATTACCATGTTTTATGGCTACGATAACTTTACATGGTGACAGAGTACACTAACTAAAACATATTCGCAACTGTGGCATGCTACCTGCATTCTTAACCTGACTGCCACGTAAGCAAGGCCATTTGGCATATGTGTTCGAAGCACTACCGGTCATGTGATTACATGCGAGATTAACCACAATAAGCGTGATACGCCCTCTATAGTCGTGCACATAGCATAACCTGAAATTTGGCCTTATGTTAGACATTAGTCAAGAGAACATTCACAATAAGAGGTGCCCACCATAATTAGCCAGTCGACTGGAGAATAGAAGGAAAGCATGCAGAATATAAAGGGACCAGGAGGAGTATTGGCAGCCAGCGAGTGGAGAGGAGGTTGAGATTGAATGTTTCATACCGAGGCAAGAGTGACTGTGCGGTCACTTGACCGATCAATGTCAGAAATCAACCAATGGGATAGATAGCGAGAGGGCCGGCGTGTGAGGGAAGACACAGTCACTACCAAAAAAGATGTAAGAGGGAACGAGTGGGAGATAAAGGGGGATTATTGAGAGGGGAGAGTGAGTAGAGAATACGAGTGGCAGATTGTACCTGTGCTGAACATCAATAAAAGAACATCCTGTGACTGTTTATTTTCCTTATATAAGACCTTTCGTTTTTCCCATCGTTACAGTACGACGATTCTGGGATGCTCGTGGCACTACCTTTACTAGCATGCACATCTCGCTGCATGCTTACTGCGATTTGGTCTGCATTTGGGTATTTCCCTCAGTTCTTTACCCTTACCTGATGCTATTTCGGTTTCCGATATTATTATTGTACCTTCATTGTGGCCGTTAGAACAATTCATCAAACGTACTGCTCAGCCTTTCAACCATTCTTGATTTCAGCTGCTTTATTTTCCTCGGCAGTCTTGACAATGTGTTTGGGGGCATCCACTTAAGATGATGTGTCTGAGTGTGGCGAGCACTCTGTCTCTAGCGGTTTCATTTCGTAGCTGCTGTACCCTTTTTGCTCGTACTAGACTAGATCCAACTGAATGTTCAGATCTGTTCAGCGGTTCACTGAAAGTTTCACCTGTGTGTGTTTCCAATGTTCGATCATCTGTTAGTGTTCATGGTAGGCGACATAATCCATCTGCTACGAGTAGAGCTTTCCCTTGCATCTACTGGGTTGTTATATCATTGTTTTGCAACCACAGTAGCATGCGTTGTAGTCGTGGTGGTGCTTTCTCTCATTTTTAGCACATCTGGTCTCCAATTCTGACAAAGACTTGCTAAGAAATGCAATAGATCCGTCATTCTGCATGACCATAGCTCCAAGATATCATTTATAGCTATCTACGTGGAGTAGGCTGTTCGTGTTCGGATCAATATATGCAAGCGCCGCTGCTTGGCATATGATTGATTTTATTTGCGCGAAATCAGCTGTCTGATTCGGCAGCCATGTGAATTATATATCATTTTCTTGAGCAGTTCACGTAGGAACGCAGAGTAATGCGAGAGAATATGCACAAATGGAAAGATGTGCGTCACTATGCCCAAGAACTCCTGCAGCTCTCTTGGATTTCTTGGAAGTGGTAGGATGTTGATAGCAGCTACTCGTTCTGGGTCAGGCATGACCCCTTCTGACGAGTAACGATTACCGAAGAATGAAATCTCACAGATCTAAATAGCACATTTGTGAAAGTTGAACACTAGTCCATAGCCACGTGTAACTCGCATCAGGTTTAACAAATTTCTGTTATGCTCAACTTCATATCTTCCATAGACGGCAACGTCATCAGCGATGGCGATGCAACCATGGCATTTTCCTAGCATTGTATCTTTGTGCTGCTGAAAGACATCTTGTGAGACGACCACCCCGAATGGTCCTAAAGCAATAGCGTCCAAACGACGTCTGGAACATGGAAAACCCCGGGCTTATCCAGCTTGACTGACCAGTATACATTATTTTTAATCTAGCGTACTATATACCAGTGCACCAGCGAACTTGTGCGTGATCTCCTTCAGGTTAGGGTTAGAGTCTAGTGGTGTCCGCGCTTGACCACTTTATTGAGGTCATTCGGATCCAAGCACACTCCTGGCCCTCCTCCGCGCTTCTGTGTGAACGTCAGACTTGACACCCAGTCGGACGTCTCGGTCACCTTTGTTATCATCCCATTGCTTCCATCTTGCTGAGCTCATCCGTGAAAGCTTACCGCAGCTGGATCAGATACTTTCGAGGTATAACGACTGTAATATGATACTCACCTGGGAAGTTGCCCAGTGTGTCGAACGAGGTTGGAAACATCCTCTTCAATTCATCTATACTGCTTATCGCTTGTGAGGACTCTGTTGCATTTGCTGCGCATATGTCTATGCCAATTTTATCCCATGAAGGGAGACTATGTCCATTAGCTTGCAGCTTGCAGCAAGCCCGAGAGTAGCATGGCTATCAGATTTTGCAATGTAGAATGGGAACTTTTGCCAGTCAACGTCCTTATACTGGCATCGCAGGCTTGTCGCCCCATGCAGCTTCATATCGTTGCTGGTATACACTGATAATTTGGTCCCCGGTCTGAATAAGACCTCTGCAGGCTTTAGTAAACCATCGGCATCTAGTTTCTGTGAAAATATTCGACGGTATATTCCCAGGGAAAGAATTTCCCCCTCAGATCATGTGTAATGAGTTGGTGACAGGTCTACCTAGTAGTCTGATGATCACCGTTGGGTACGCAGACAGCGTTATGCTCGACAGTTTCTATGGTAATGCCCACTGCGTCACATGCAACCCAACAATATTCCTCATTGTATGCGCTGTCTTGATCAATATCGTCGACATGTCTGTGAAAGCTCGACTTTCCCCATTCGTAACCGCGGCTGTGAGAGTTACCTCGGTGTCGGCCTCTACTCCTGTACTGTAGTGTTTGTTTGATTTTTATCTGTTGTAGCAAGCTCATGCTATACTGACGAATAGCCCCGTTATTTATGCCGCCGTATTTGTTGCTTGTTGCGCCTCTTGCTGGGCAGCGTTGGTTTGTGCTATGTTTCACCACATTGTGGACAACGTTTGTGGTTGTGCTATCAGCGCACCCATGTTGCATGGCATTAACGTGTTTGTGTTTTTCTCCTTGGATGTCCTTGAAGACTTGCTGGTGGCTAATAACAGAAGTATCATCTATGCGGCATGCTTCGAAAGCTTCTTCCAGCGTGTATTTCTCATTCGTCAATAGTAGATTCTTTTCAACCTCGGTATGTTTCCTACCGTATGTATTCTGCTCTGTAATTAGCTTTTTTTGGTAATCTGCTTGATTTTTTTAGCCTACTGACTAAGTCATTGCCCGACTCCTCACTGTTTCTTCATGTGTTGAAATGTAAGTCTATCCACGCAAAAAAACTAGACATCTTTGTGTATCGATTTTTTTCCATGCGACGTCTGCGTCTTGCCACTCGTTGGTTGACACACCACAACTGTTGAACATTGCGAGGCCTTCACTGCCGGTTATGAGCAATATGTGCTGTACTTGCCTGTCAGCCTGCACGCTCTTGGCAGCAAAATATGTCATCTCTTTTTGCTTGACCAATTTACACGTGCCTACTCGATCAGCCTTGAATCCTTCCATTTGCCAAACACTGTTAGTCTACAGTTCGTTGCTGGCTCGCGCGCTGGCTTGAGCACACTGCACACCAGAACTTGTGTACACTGACAATTAACGCACTAGTTTAAAATGTCCACATGTCCGCATCTATGCGCTGTGTAGACGTAATCGTTCACCATTACCGTTACACCATTTTCACGTTTTCTCTTATTAGGTATTGATGGGTTGTGAGTTTGCCAACTTCATCACACTTTCGCTTTATCTACCATTATGAGTAAGTGCCCTGGTGGAAAAGTAAAAAATCTCGGAGATAGTTTACTGTGTGGCAATCGTCATGTTATTCCACTTCTCATATCTGCAGCCCTATTGTCAAGGTTCGCTGTATAAGATTGTGGCTTAGCAATTATCTGGCCAGTATATGAGTTTACTTAATATAATCTACACTTTGCCATACCTCTACAAAGTCGTTGTCAGTGTTGCACACGCTGCTGCTGTCCTATATTTAGTAACACTGACTATGTTATTTCCCTCTCTTGCATTTAGTTGGTGTACCTCTGCGTCGTGAAATTGTTTTGCTGTCTCCTCCCCTGAAACCTTCACAATACTATATTATCGTTATATACTATCATGTATCATTACTGTTCCCGATTACAATTCTGAAGTAAAGGATAGCGTTCTATTAACGTTTTAGCAAAATTATTTGGTAGCATTATGGGAACATGGACAAGACCACACTAAGTTACGTTTCAGAGCATACCACAATTCGTTTTTATAACTAGTGATATGTCGCGTGAACGTTTGCAGAACGTAATTTGGTTAGCTGGAATATGCTGTATCAACACGTGTAGACGCACAACGAAAGAAAGTTAATCGGTTTATCTGGTAATTGAAACCACACTGGTAAGCTGATCAGGTAGGTCACCAAAATATTACAAAATTCTACTCTCAGTTCTCTCGTGCGCGAGCAGCACAAATCAGGTGGATTACATTACAAAAATCACAACAATTAACACCATACAACCAGTTGCCAACATTTGAATTGAGTTGCTTCCATTTGCATGCCCAACATATGCTAGGCTATATTGGTACTGATTTTCATTTTCCATTTTGAAGAGGTGTGCAATAGTATATAATTACTGATAGAATCTGCCAATCTGTGTTTTTAACATAGTTGCGTTTTAACTGCAGATCGAAAGGGTTCTCTCACGCCCTATACCCATTATGAAGATGTAACCGAATTGGGTATCAAAGGTCACATTGTCCAAAAATGTGACCTTGAGGTTGGGTCAATGGTCGAAGTCAACATGAGTGGTTTGCCAAAATATGGGGTTATCCGGTGGATTGGAATAATCCCTGAGTCAAGCCTAGCCAAACCTATGGCTGGGGTGGAAATGGTATGTGTATTACTTTAGGTATAGTGATATTTTACTTTACATTTTTGTCATTATTTTCAAAATATTATTCTACACATTACTCAACATTCTACAATTACTTGCTTTATTAATATTGCTTTGCGTCCTGTTAATTATGTTTGCCTATATGAACATGGATGGCTACAGTTGTAATTGTACTGCAGGGCGTTTGTGCATGTGCTGTAACAACTACGTGTGTTGTGGGGTGTACTCCAACCTTAAACCTAATTACTCTACTACTGTATTTATTTCGCTTAGTGTTTCTTATTTCGGCCCGTCCAATAAAATGCTGTTCAAGAAGAAGATATTCCTATTATATTCTTTCCTTGCTCAACCACGTATTTAATTACATTATCCACACAGTTATTATACCGAGTGCCCTCTCATTCATAAATTTAGATGTGATATATATATACGAAATTCCTACACGCCCATAACGACTGGATAAACTAAGCTTACACCCAACCTAAAGCCCAGTCTATGAGTGGTGTAGAGACAATTAAGTGGTTGGTGTTGTTTTGAAAAGGGAAGAATAGTACTTAATTCAATACTGCCAACTGTTCAATAGTTTAGGATTTGCCGTTAAAATAGAGTAAGATTTCAATAAATTTGCGTTTTGTTCCCTTTTTCCCATTATATGCTCTATGCATTTTTTTAGCATTATTTGCTTTTGATAATAGTGATGTAGGAGCATGATTTATTCAGGGTGGCTATTTCACCAACACTGCTTCTATTTTTTACACAGGAATGAGGGGTAGCACAAGTGATCACGGTAGTGGGGATGTAAATTATGTAATGGCTGTGCCTTCGATTTTGCCCGCCAGTCACATCTGTTTATTGTATGAACGATGGCTATACGATGTGCACCTAAACCCATCATTTTTCCCACGTGCTGTGATAATTTTCTGGTTGGTTAGGAAATAGTGTCACTGCAATGGGTACTTTGATTCCCATGCTTTGTGTCGGAGATGACAGAGTTCCATTTGTTTCCATCATGCAAATAACTTCTATATGCTATATGGTATAACGTCTAATTCATCTTCTATATGGCAATTACGCAACGGTCTCCATGTGTCAGCATCAGATACTGCCTTTTTGTGTCTCACATAATATAATGATAGGCTTAAACTTCAGATGCCGTATTAGTTCCCATACATTATTTACAAACATTAATACAAGAAATCGCCATCTGTAGTTTTTCTTCAGTTCTTCAAACAAATAATTCTGTCATAAGCAAATTTATTGGCAAATTCGTAAGAGTTTCCCACGTTTGATTGAAATCTAAACTGTACTTGTAAATGCCTAAATGACTTTATGAATCTTCTTCACCAGTATTTCATCAAGCGGACAGACACTTTAGCGTCATCAACGCCATAGTGGGTTACAGCGCTAGTGATTCTTTTAGGTCCTTGTTACTGGACCCAGCCCGTCATGTTATGTGGTCTCGGCAATGGGCGATTCGCAGACTCTAATTCCGAGATGAAGGTTTTTACACATTGGGAAGGTTTACTGTCCTAGCCGGGTCGAACTCATGGCCTTTATAGTGAAAGGTGGACACGATAATCACTCAACTACTGTGGTTCTCCTTTACGTATAAATGTAGGTCTCCCATTGTTCAGGTTTAGCTTGCTATCACTTTCTCATTGATCTTACTATTACACAGGATGAAGAAAGTGTATGCTGCACAGAAGGCACTGTCAATTGCAGGCAATACTTTCAATGCCCACCAAAAAAAGGTTTCTTCCTATATCTGCACCTCTGTAAGAAGGACTCACGGTTTTTGGAGCATCCCAAATCAGTGAACACACAAACTAGCTGTGGTAAGTTTGCTTTAGAATGAATTACCCCTTTCCGTGATATGAAAATTATAGTGTGAAACAGAAATATCTGAAGTTACTAATGTATAAGAAGTTACTCATTGTGTACTTGCAACATCAACAATATTTTGCGTCAGCCTTTGGAAATATGGACAGTCCCTGTGTGGAAGGAGACATTCCACCACCGGACATTGATGATGTATCTCTTGTCTGTGGGAAGAGCCGTGGTATACAGGGACACTCTAACTCATGCTACCTCGATGCAACACTATTCAGCATGTTTGCCTTCACCCAGGTGAGGATCAGTATCCATATGTTTATAGTATAATATTAAGTAATCGTAGCCAGTTATTGTATCACCGTTAAAGAGAGAGAGAGAGAGAGCTATAGTGCGTGCGTGCGTGCGTGTTAACCAACAGTCTGAATTTTTAGCTCAGCTGACGAAGTCAGATGCAGCTTGTAGAATCGCATGAATGTCCATCCGTCCGTGCGTGCGTCCGTCTGTGTGTCCGTCAACAGTTATGGCACAAATCTTTACCGCTCGACGCACAGTTGATATTCGGGACGTTGGGGGGATAGTGACAAGGACTCGGGATGTCGAATTTGAGGGTGGGGGGGGGGCAAGGATCAAAGGTCAAGATGTGGCAATGGAGGGGGAATGTCTCGTAGAGGAGGAAATACGGAATTGCGGCACAAATCTCATTCGCTCAACCTACGCTCTTAATATTCGATGTATAGTGTGCTGGGGAGGAAATCCATCACCAGTGCAAAATTGGAGGCCACAGGTCAAAGGGCAGTGGGGGAAAGGTCAGATATCAGACATTTTCTAAGGACATGGTCCAACGGACCGAGTGCAAAATCTTTTTGTTTCAGCACTGACCTTTTTATCACTTTATTGAAAGGACCATGAAATGTACTTTCCACTGACGTGTGAAGAGTAAGTGTCTGATAACCTTTTGACCCTAAAGAGGAGGGTTAAACATGGATTTGTTAACTGTTAACGGAAGCACTGAACTGCTTTTGCTATTAGAGGCCCCTCCGACCCCCACCGCCCCTACCACCACCACCAATACGCTCGCGCTCGACGCATATCCATCATAACATGTTAATATAGCGATGTCATTAAAGTGAAACGGCTGTATCTTTATTACTGTACTACACGTATAGCAAAGCCTGGCTATCATGGACTTTAGATCTGTATTAGAAGTATCCTAGATATATGCTCTGAGTGCAAATGCGGTGGCGGGAGGGCACACTTGATTCGGTTGGCAGTGAGTTTATCAGAAGAATACCCGGCTACAGTACATGTCAGTTGAGCACTGTCGCTCTGCGGCACTTGTTTGTTTTGCTTGTCATTGCATTTATAAACTGTATGCTTGAACACACTGTGGCTAGCATACAGCCGGTTGTGAAGAGCATCACTTCACCTGTTGCAGGATCACACCATTAAGTATTTGTGTGGACATTACCCTTACAATGGCACGATAATTATATATATAGATTTATACACGTTACATGGTGTGTGAAACTGATGACATATAGTAGCAGTACATACATGGATGAATATAAGTTTCATGTAAATTGAAGATATTTTTACTGGGCAAGTAGATTCGCTGAGTGACTAGATTGCTTTGGCATACCTATATGTGTTAGACACAGTCAAAGCATATTCGTACACTTTGTTTGATGTGATCATACCATGCTTCTGCTGTACGCAAAGCCCAGCATGCAAATTCACATTAGAAGTACTGCATATATTATACGACTAAAACAGAACTAAATCTCAATTGCAGACCATGAACAAATGCGGCCAAAATGTTATCTCAATTTACAAATATACAACTGATGTGCAGCAACACTCGATAAACAAAAAGTGTAGACTCAATATAACAATGTAAGAACTACATTGGATTTACTGCCTCTTGTCAGTCCTCTCGTGCAGGCTTCTTCTTTCTTCGTCTCCTCATTCTGCTATTTGTTCTTATTCTATTCCTCTTCATTTTTTTCTTACATAACAAAAATATAATTCAACATTGAACTTGACGTTTGACTCATGTCTACTGACATGCCTCATGCATATTTATATACTGGCATGCCCATGCTCTCACTGCCTCTGTTCCTTGCTGTGTGGCAAGGTTTCTCGCCTGGGCTGCATGCCTATAAGCTATTTCTTTTAAATGGCTAACCGTAACAGATGATTTCATGTATGATCATGCTAGCCTCCCAGTCGTTGAACCATGTGTCGTCAGTACAGGTAGCGGTTTGGTTTTGGCGTCGAATGTGTGTGCCAGTGTCCACCTTTATTCGCAAATTATGCTCCCCATGACGATTGACCAGTTTGACGTGCAGTTTTGGGAATGCGTCATCCCTTGTTAATTTCTCTAGGCACATGGACGAGATGGGAATTCTTTCAAAGGACAAACTGTCAATTTCCTGGTCTAACCGGCTGTCAGACTGTGCGTACATATGGTATCAGTCTTTGCGACGGTGATGGTTGTCCATGGGCGTCTTACTTCGAGCACCTCTGTAGGATTTCCTTCTGCCTCTGAACTGTGCATGATCTTTGTCAGGTGACGTTGAGTAGCCTCGGTCACGTGATTTTGAGGTCCCTCGGTCATGTGATTTTGACCTTGGTCTAGCTCGTGATTTGCCTGACAAACACACAATGTCTAATTAAGCAGCAGGAAAATCTCATGTACCAGGCAAGAAATTTAATGTATGGGGACAATAACGTTTGGTTACCAAATAACCAGCAGGAAAATCTCATGTACTAGGCAGGAAGTTTCACGTATTGGGACAATAACGCTTGTTGTCTAATTAACCAGCAGGAAAATCTCATGTACCAGGCAGGAAATTTCATGTATGGGGACAATAACGTTTGTTGTCCAATTAAGCAGCAGGAAAATCTCATGTACCAGGCAGGAAATTTCATGTATGGGGACAATTACGCTTTTGTTGTGCAATTAACCAGCAGGATAATCTTATGTACCAAGTAGGAAATTTCATGTTTTTTTTAGAAAATTACACTATTGGTCTCCAATTAACCAGCAGGAAAATCTCATGTGCCCGGCAGGAAATTTTATGTATGGTGAATGTAACTATTATGTAGGTATTTTACAATTGAATAATACAGGTAACTTTATGTACACATACCTAAAAATGCTACCCATGAAATAATCTATGGACAATTCCACGTATGCGCCATAAAATTTCCTAAACATGAACAGGACATTTCCTTTAATTATTATGCAGGAAACATGAAATGTTTTCATGTATTTTTCCAAGAGGGTAGCCCAGTGATTTTGCTTACCACGTGCATTGCACACTGACCCGTGCACTGGGCACCATTCTTTGTATCTGTATGGGTGTTGGAGTCCACAGTTCTCACAATTTCTGTGCATGTTGTGACTAACACCCTGGATACTAGCTGCATAGGCTGCTCCCATATCCTTCAGTTGCTGCACATGAGATGCAGAAGCCTCATATGTACGGCCTAATGTCAGGGTTTATTCAAGTTTGGAATTCTTGTCCTTGCTCAAAAGTTCCTTCTAATGAGGTATCTGAGTGCTAGCTATGATGAGCTCTATAATTCGCTCGTGCATGTATCTCTGTCTTTTGATTGACATCGTAATGCTTGCAGTTTATGTCTATTGGCAAATTTATCCAAAGTCTCTCCCTGCTTTTGTTTGTATAGTGCATCAATTTCCGACGACTTACCTTAAGTTTCTCTGAGGGTTCCAATTGCTCTGTAAATTTATCGAGTATCTTGTCGACGGACATCTTTTCTTCCTCTGCCAAGGTCCACGAGTTGTATCTATGTAGGCCCTCGTTGCCCACTTGCCTTAATAAATGGTTGGCCTGGTCAACAGTGTCAATGTTCTGCACCTTGAAGTATAGTTCAAGGTGTTGACAAAAGAGTTTGAAGACGTCAGCTTGGTTGGGCAATGACCACTCGGCATGTTTACTGTTCTCAGCAAGGTATTAGCGAAAGCCGCACTGTGTCTGTAGAAAACACAATGCTTTGCTGTTTCATATGTGCATGTGTTTGTATGACGATATCCATCAAACTTGAATGTAATGTTCTGCCAGCTACTGTCACGTGTAGCTTTCTGCTGTTTGGCGTGTCGTAAACGTCATGCGTGCACATATAGGAACATCCCGTCTGCTGTCGAGACGCACCATTTGGTTACCTGCATGGCTTCTTGTCAGCTACAGGGCGCACTTTTCTCAGATGACCAGAAAATGCATTTAAACGCATTCACGCATGACCAGCAAATGTTCAGCACTAATTGTTACAGTTTCGCTGTGCTGAGGCTTCCGGAAGATCGTTTTCTCACTGCTGCCACCATGTTAAGTAATGACAAAGAGTAATATAACTCAAAAGATAGTTTAATGCTGGAGCTGGTACATGTGCTCATTTGAACACTTAAGCTGGTGAACAAGAGAGAGTGATATCAATCCGCGCTGATCTAACAATAATCAATAGTTTATAGAATGTGTCCATGCGGGTAGGAAGTCCATACTATTATGTGTGTGTGTGTGTGCGTGTGTGTGTGCGCGCGCGTGCGTGCATGCGTGCATGCTCTCGTACTTGTGCGTCCGCGTGTGTGTGTGTGTGTGTGAATAAAAGGTGATTAGTCTTTCTTGCTAAACGGTACAATTAACCATTTCCTCACAATATATTTGCGATATTGCAGCAAGAAACGTTCGTTCCTATCGTTTTCACTGAAGCATTTTGCAACCTCAGCAAAAACGCTATTATGTCGTTTAAAAAACGTTTTTTAAGAACTTACACATAACCTTAGTATTAACGTTTATCGAACGTTAAGAAAACATTCGTTCCAAACATGCTTATTAAGCCATGTCGCAACAAAATCAAAAACGTTAATAAAATGTCGATTAAATGTTTTTGGTAAATGTTTTTGAAGAACCTATATATAACCTTATTATTCACGTTGTGAAAACGTTAAAAACGTTTTTAATGATACTGTTAGGGTTACGGACGGATAACACTGTAAAAGGCATTGCAACATAACTGCTCATCAAATTCAATCAAACTCATATCCGTTACATAAGAGAGATGTCTCTCTACGCTCTTGATGAATAAAAAAAATTATTCATTGCTAATTAAGTGACGGCAAAAATTCTTAATTTATACAAAAAAAATCTCCGAACCAGCAAAGAGTTGGGACCTAAACTTTTAACCATAAGTTGTTCATAATATAAACTAAAAAAGTGTCCCTGGAATTTTTTTTAAAGGAATACTTTACTTTAGAATTTGAGAGTATATTATGA